GAGGAATGTTAGCAAAATTGTTTGTTTGCTCATTTCACACAAAATAGCATTAGTCAGGCTTTCTTCCTTTTTTTAAAAAAGGAGGAAAACAGATTAGTTTTATCTGGTAATAATATGACATTCTATCGAGAAATGCTTAGGGTGATGGCATTCAGAACGGAAACATTTCTATGATTAAACAAAGCAGGGTAGTTTTTCACATAAGGAACTAATTTCCTCCTCCACCTGTGCTAACGATATGAAACTTCCTTGAGCGAAAAATGCTCACGTCATTTCATTGTTTAGTATGTCCTCATACTCTAAATTTGTGAATATAAGCGAGAGGCCTTCGTTGGGAAGCCAACTAAACTTCTTCAATTGTGCGACAGTTCGTGGGCTCTAAACGTCCGTCCTTTACCTAAATATAACACACCACAACACGAGAGAATTAGTATTTCTAAACTGCTCGTTCCTCTTCTAAAGCGAATTTAGATTGCATGTGATCTAACAACTATCTGGCTTCAGTTCTAGATCTAAAACATCTCATTTTCTATCAGTTTGAGAGGTCCAGAGATGCCTATATAGGCCTAATCTTTTTAGAGAATGAGAACAGCACTTTTGCTCTTGATTGTTGTTGCCGTTGTGGTTGCTTATAATCCTGTATTTGTCGTTAGCATTAATGCCCGAAGGGATGGACAGAAAGAACCTGACTGCTATAGAAAACGACGAGTACATGATTCGGTAATCTCTTTTGTCAAAAGCTTTGATCTTCTGCTGAAGAATTGATTGCTAACAGAAACTTGTTGATAAATAAAGTAAATAATGTAAACAAGTTCATTTCAATTGGGTAGAACAGTATGTTCAACTCAAAGCTGTAAGGAATTAGATGTCGATTTTTTAATTTGATAAGCTTTCTCTACTCTTTTTTTTGATGTGAGTGACATGACCTGCAGTCTAGAGAAGAAGTAGATTTAAGCAATTGCACGTTGCACTTTCTCTACTCCTTTTTTTTGGTGTGAGTGACATGACCTGCAGTCTAGAGAAGAAGTAGATTTAAGCAATTGCACGTTGCAGTGGTGAGAAA